GCATGTGTTTGCTATGTGTTATGTGTGCATGATACCCAAATTTGGTTGCGATCAAATTGGTTATTCTTGAGCTGCGGTTCAGAAGCTGGCTGCGGTCAGATTTACACTCTCGGGTTGCGGTCCACCGTTTGGTTGCGATCAAACGTTTTACATGAGCTGCGGTTCATATTCCTAGCTGCGGTCAGATGACTACTCTTGGGCTGCGGTCCACTGTTTGGTTGCGATCAAACATTATGATGAGCTGCGGTTCATCGGTCAGTTGCGATCGACCCCTCCGTGTTGCGATACGGGGCAGGGTACTGCGGGACCGTGTCAGAGCTATATGCGCTGACCCTCATGTATGGGCATGCGATTGGTCCTGTGGCGCCATCAAAGTGTGCTATGTGATGAGATATGGATGGTTTGATGTTACGAATGTCATGAAAGCGTGACCATAGGATACATGCTAGTAAACCGTATATGCTTGGTTATGACTATTGGCTGTGCTTATCTCTATCTGTCGAGTCTGTTCCCTATGCTTGTGAATTGTATGACTGTTGACTGTGCTTATCCCTATTTGTCGAGTCTATTCCCTGTTTTAAAAGCTAGAGTCTCGTAGGATATATCTTCATGCTTCGAAATGGTTTTTCTTATATCTATGTATATTTCTATATGTACTGTATTTCAACGCGTTGGAGTGGGTTACCAGCATCTCTCACTGAACAGATATATTTGGCTTTCAGGCATAGATGATTAGACACTGGAGCGCGCTAGAGATTCGGAGCATAGAGTAGATAGTTTCCCTTTCGGCCTGCGTGCCATGTTTATGTATTGATACTATTTGAGGATTCTAGAAGTAAGCCTGTGCACCTGGGTTCTCTAGCTCAGGTGTGGCATAACACACCGTACTCTCATGTTTGTTTTGGGATTTATGAGCATTTACCTTTATTATATAAGCTTCAAAAGTTTAAAATTTTCGGGGTGTTACATTTTCGTTTCGAAATGGCTTGGGTGTATGATGAAGGGTGCAGAGGTGTGGTGGAAAAATCATGGGAGGAAGGAAGGAACGAAGGAATCCAAGACTGCATAGCGCACTGTGGGAGTCAATTGTCCCGATGGGGTGGTGACCCGTATCATAAATTCGGTGAAAAGATTATGCATCTGCGTAAGGAACAATTACATCCAAGAAGATACTTATTGGAGACAGAGAGCCAAACAATACTGGCTCAAGAATGCGGATGTCAATACAAAATTCTACCACAGGTATGCCTCTCACCGTAAAAAGAAAAATACTATTTATAAGCTTTTGAATGATAATGGGGATTGGATGGAAGGGAGTGCTATGAATACGATTATCTTGGAATATTTTAGCCATATCTTCTCCTCTAGTAACCCTATGGATGGTAGCAATTTATTTGCTGAGGTATCCCCACGTGTTAACCAGGCTCAAAATGAGTTATTATTACGGCCCTTTGAAGTGACTGAGGTTAAGGATGCCCTTTTTGCAATGGCCCCGGACAAAGCACCTGGCCCGGATGGTATGAACGTAACCCAGGTTTCTACCAGCATTTCTGGGATATAGTTGGTGATGCTATTTCGACATTTATACTGAATTGTCTTAATAATCCTGAATAATACGGATGTTGTGCTCATCCCAAAGAAGAAAACCCCTGAGGTGGTTGCGGATTTTCGGCCAATAGCTTTGAGTAATGTGATCTACAGAATAATGGCCAAGATGATTACACAGAGAATGAAGCCTTTAATGGAAAGTATAATATCTGGCTCACAAAGTGCATATATACCGGACAGACTGATTACTGAAATATTCTTATAGCAGCAGAAGTGGGGCATTACTTGAATAGAAAGCAGTGTGGGACTGTAGGTTGGGGAGCTCTCAAACTAGATATGGCCAAAGCCTATGACCGTATGGAATGACCTTTCCTCCGTGGGATGCTACTGGCCCTGGGTTTTGATGACAGGTGGATTGAATTGATTATGTTGTGTGTGACTACAGTGTCATATACATTTATGATAAATGGCTCCCGAAGTACCTCGATCACACCCACTCGTGGCCTACGACAGGGAGATCCGTTATCCCCTTATCTGTTCATAATCTGTGCAGAAGGACTTTCAGTCTTATTACAACGGGCTCAGGATAGGGGATTAATACATGGTTGCAGGGTTGCTAGAGGTGCACCTCCTATTTCTCATGTTATTTTTTGCGGATGATAGCCTACTGTTTTTCAAAGCAAATATGCAGGAAGCATCTGAGATAAAGAATTGTTTGTCACTCTATGAGAGTTTATCTGGACAGAAAGTTAATTATCATAAATCTAGTGTATGCTACAGTAGGAATACAGGGCAGAATGATAAGGATATGGTGGCACAAATCCTAGGAGTAACCCAGGCTCCCAATTTTGGGAAATATCTAGGTCTGCCCTCCTTTGTGGGAAGAAATAAAAAGGCTGCATTTGCATATATTGAGGATAAGATCAGACAAAGGATTGGTTCGTGGAACAAGAAATTATTATCACAGGCTGGTAAAGAAATTTTGTTGAAAAGTGTGGCTCAAGCAATGCCGACATTTTCAATGAGTGTTTTTTTGCTACCCATATCTGTTTGTACAGCTATTGAGCGAGTTATGAACCGGTACTGGTGGGAAATAGGTACTGACCGAGGCATTCACTGGAAAGCTTAGGATAAGTTATGTATCCCAAAAAAACATGGTGGCCTGGGATTCAAAGATTTGAGAGCATTCAATTTGGCAATGTTAGGAAAGCAGGCATGGAGATTGCTCACTAACACTGACTCATTGGTGGCTCGGGTTTATAAGGCCAGATATTATCCTAAGGATACCTTCTTGGAGGCAAATATAGGAAATAATCCAAGCTTTTGTTGGCACAGTATTATGGCGGCTAAAGATCTAATATGCAGTGGTATAAGGAGACGAATTGGGGATGGGAAACCTACCTTAATATGGGAACATCCCCGGCTGCAAGATGAACTGGATCCTATGGTTCACATGCAAATGCCACAACATCTGTCTAGAGCCAAAGTGGTGGGATTAATTGACCAGGATACGGGTACTTGGGATCCGCATATACTAGCTGATATTTTTCAACCAAGTGATATACCTAGAATCCAAAAGATACCAGTTTCCCCTGAGTATGATGATATATGGTATTGGTATGAAGATCCTAATGGATGTTATTCGGTCAAGAATGGGTACAGGCGTATAGTTGGTAATTATGAGAATAATTCTAATGGAGCATTTGATGAATGGCTCACCCTATGGAAGTTAAAAATCCCACCCAAATGGAAGACATTCCTATGTAGAGCTATTTGTGATATCCTTCCTACTACCAACAATTTGCTTATAAAGAGAGTGAATGTTAATCCGATGTGTGCCATGTGTGGAATGATGAATGAAGACACCATGCATGCATTAGTTTTGTGTGACTTTGCAAACTCCATATGGACACAATCCAACCTTCCACTCCCCAATATTATCACAAATGTTTTCCATGAATGATTTAGTGCAATCTTGAATGTTCTAGACTTTAATGGAATTGTTTATGCAGCTGCAATATTATACCATCTATGGAGAGCCCGAAACGGAGCGATCTGGGATGCCTGTCTACCAAGACCAACGAAGTTACTTGTGATTGCTGCTACTACTGTGAGGGCATGGAAAGCCGTCCATCACCGCACCCTAACACGACAGTCTACATGCCAAACTGCTCCGATCTCCGTAGCTGCCGCAGCTGCTCCTACTACCGGAAACTTTCTGCCAACTGAAGCTGCTGTTATGCAGGTCGCCGGGCGTCCGCCGTCTCCACCACGCAGCCACTCTGCTCTCCCACGTGGCACAATGACAAGGCCAATAAAATGTTACATAGATGCCAGTTACCACCACGGAACAAATTCGACTACAGTCGGTGCAGTTCTTCTCGATGCCGACGATCATTATGTGTCAGCTTTCAGTGCCCCCCTAATAGGTTGCTTCTCCCCACTCATGGCCGAGGCATTTGCATTCAAAGAAGCCTTATCCTGGCTTAGAAGGCGGGATGAACAGATTATACAGATTCACACGGACTGCCAGTTGCTACAGAGTTATCTGTCTAGACCACCTACCACATCACGTTCATATCTAGGTTATGTTATTGATAGTTGCAGAACCTACATATCTGCTTTTACTTTCTGCTCAGTTAATTTTATTCCTAGATTACAGAATTTATTAGCTGCAGAACCTACATATCTGCTTTTACTTTCTGCTCAGTTAATTTTATTCCTAGATTACAGAATTTATTAGCTCATTCCCTAGCTACTACAGCTTTTGATTTCACTACGGCTATGTACTGGGACAATGTCCCACCAAACTCTATTTCAGCTTATCTATAAATACAACCGCCGCCAGGTTGACCTTCAAAAAAAAGTAGATCTAAATATATCTTTTGGAAAAAAAAATAAAAGAATTCCTTTTTTTTTTCAAATGGAGAATGATATACTATTATTCATTAGAAATTAAAAAAATATTATTTTTGGTCAATCAACTATATTACATGTATCAAATTTGGTCATTGACTATTAAAATTTGTAAATTATTATGTGCATGCAAGATTATGTAATGAGTATCACATTTGATCATTGACTCTTAATATTTTCCGGTCACGGGTTACTTGGCCATAAATTTGACTGAAAATTTTAACGACATGATCAAATGTGATACAAATTACAAAGTTATGCAACTAATTTGAATATATTAATAGTCAATGACCAAATGTGATACAAATTACATAATCATACACCTAATTTAAAAAGTTTAATAGACAATGACCAAATTTGATACATATACTATAGCCGAGGATCAAAAATGATATTTTATCTATTCATTAATATCGCACGATTAATAAATAAATATACCATACATGTAAATAAACTATACCAAGATATAATAAGGCATATATATAATTGATGTCTTAGCTTGTAAATATTGTATATCATAGTAAGAAAGACAGAGCCACAACATGGACCGCATAATTTGATTCATAGATACTTATTATAAACCTTTGTACAATATAATATCACAAATGTCACACTTCAATCTTTATTGCAAACAAAAAAGATGAACAAAACGGATTATTTCAAGTATCCATCCAAAGCTTCTCATCGGATTATTCAGTCAATCAGTCCGGTTGTCCGCGGCCATGCATGCATTCAATTCAACGCTCAACCGATGCTGCAATTCAAGAATACAAATTAGCGTACGTGAAATGAAATAATCAGACAGAAATCTAACACGTAGTAATAATAACGATCGAATTACTAATTAACCTTTGACAGTTGATGTCGGTGCTGATGGGGACGTCGGTGGAAACGCCACATTTGCCGGGAAGACCGGCGGCGACCTCGGCCTTGATGCCGAAGGTAGGGGCGACGGCCTTGAGACATTCACAGGCGTCCTGCCTGTCTTGCTGCGACGGAGTTATCCTGATCAGGGAGTTAACGGCGTCACAGCACTGTTGTGGAGGAGCATCGCCGCCGTTTTGGAGATAGGCGAGGCAAGGGGACACTGTGAAGTCCACCAGGCCGCAGTCGACGGCTTGGCCAGGTCGCAGCGCGGCGAGCACCGCCGCAATGAGGATAGCCGCCGAAGCCATTGCTCGATTCATGGTTTCTTTTAGCTAGTATATATATATAACTTAGCCTGTTGAATTATAATTGATGGAGGGATGGAGTAGTGGGGTTTTTATAGTAAGGGGAAGAAGCAAAAATGGCGTGATAGCATGACTTCCATTGCAGGTATAGATCAGCAGTGCTCTGAATTTGCTTTTCTCCGGCCTTTCTGTCCGGATTATTCGTGTTTGCTTTAACGGATGACAATCTTAATATTGAAGTATTAGGTGTTTGACAATCAAGTTCTACTTTTTTGTCTAATGATTTTCTTAGTTTATAATTAATCTTATGGTAACTTAAATTGGTTTATGTGATCCTTCGCTAGATAAAGTCATTAAGATCACAGATAGAGCCATCAAAATGAATTTTACCCATCAAACCTATTGTCCATCCCGTAGTAAGTAGGGGCAAGTGCATGACATAGTCAATAATACTTGATTATGATACTTTACCTACAATCACTGTTGTAAAAATCGGCCTAGGCACCTTTAGGTTTTTCCGCTTTCACTATTAGGCACCCAAAAATCGGTCGGGCGCCTAGGCGGCGAAATCGACCAAAATCGGTCAAAATTGACCTAGTCGACCAACTCGGTCTAGGCGGTCAACTCGACCGAGTCGGTCATTTTCGTCCAATGTCGACTGGTCCAACCGTCCATAGACTAGTTTAATACTTTGAATCTTTGGATGATTTAAGTATTTGAGTATTTCATATTTGATGTTATGACTTATGAATTATCATTATTTCATTTATTTGGATGTGTTATTTGATTGAATGTTTAAAACAACCTCATTAAAATTGTCAAACTAGCAAGTCTCCCACTAATTTTTTGGCGCCCGCCTAGCGCCACCTAGGTGAGGTCCGGGCACCCGAGTAGCGCCTAGCGCCTACTGCAACCATGCCTGTAGTTAACCATTTATGTGTCTATAGCTATTATGTTATGTGTTTGTAATTACCATGTGTTGTGCCTTCAATTTATTTACAGGTACAAAAATTGTTAACTATATATACAAAATGTATTAACTGCAGACACATAATTTTTAGACAAGGATTCACAATGCAATATGAACTTGGTCCATGATATAACAATTAAAAATTTCAACAGTTATACCATGGACCCGGGTCTCCTTGCAATGTGGAATCGGATCCAAAATATACAATTTACATATTGAATGTTCACAATTTACATACTAAATGTTCACAGTACAATTTGAATTATGAACATTTAGTACGCAAAATTGCTAATTGTGTATGTAAATTGTAAATATTTAATATGTAAATTGTGAACATTCAGTATGCAAATTGTGAACATTTAGATAAATTGTATATTTTTGGGTTACCTTACAAGGTGGACTCGGGTTCACAAAATAATTTGCCTGAAAATTGGGCAAATTATATCATGAACCACAGTGCATGATCAATCATGCACCGCGCGTCCTTTTGTTAAATGAAAAGAAACGATGTTTGTTTTCTGCCGTTTCGCACCCTTTCGCAAAAAGTGACCCTGTTATTTAATGTCATTTTGTATACACTGCAGTTTCAGTTCAACACAACTACAGTTTCATTTCGATATAACTATAGCTAGTTTCATTCGATATTTTTAGACTCAAATATGTGAAAATGTTATTTAATTTTATTTTATATACACTATAGTTTCATTAAAACACAACTACATGATCATTTTGATATAATTACAACTTCATTGTACAATATACACTCAAATATGTGAAATGTTATTCAGTTTCATTTTATATACACTGCAGTTTCATTTTGATATAACTACAGTGTCGGTTTAGATATACTGTAGTGTCAGTTGGTGTTTAATACACCAAACAAGCGGACTCCGTTAACTATAACGGCGGACCGTTTCTTTACTTAAAGAAACGGCGCCGTTTTTTACCGCGGTGTACATGCACCACGGTCTATGATATAACGACTGTGAAAACTGTCACCCTTGTTTAGATATTTTGAGTGGACTGGATTAAACCAAGGCCCAATGTTGATCCGTGAAAATATGAAGCCCAAATTAGCGTCGGCAAGGAGGTCTATATGACTATATGGCTATATTTTCGTCCGATAGTAAGAGGCTCGGGGAAGAACTCAACAATCAGAATGCCGGCCATGGCGGATGAAACAGAAACAAAAATCTCTGACGATGGAGAAGAAGGAATTGTAGCGAAAGACGCAAAAATATTAAATTTTCTCGATTCATTCATTGGATAGCTATCTGATTCTCATGGACACTTTATCTTCAACACTTCGCCATGTACCAATTCCTAACTTAGTTAAAAAAATTTAAACGGGTGAAATTTTTTTCGACCATCTTTACTTTGTGGTCGGTATTTCCGATCACTAAATAAAGGTGGTCGGAAATTCCGACTTATTTTTCCATCATAATCTTTCGATGAAAAATTAAAAAAATGTCACCATTTCGACCATTTTTTTAAGTAGTCGGAAAATCAAAGATTTTCAGCAGTGATACACCTGTAAACAAAATTTGTGCACTTCATAGTTATTAGTCTTATTATTCTTGGAGCGCACTCGTAGTATAACTTTGTGCACTTGTAGTATGAAATTTAAGCATATATAGTAAAGAACTTGTGCACTTGTAGTGTAAAAATTGTGCACTTCAAAGTTAATAAAATTTGTCAAAATGTCACGACATTTTTTAATTATTATTCCGCGTTAATTTAGATTAGATCAATAGCAGATATTTTACCTTATTATTATCCGGGTCTCTTTTTATTTGATCCTTTGTGGTGGGGGGATTAAGGGTCAAAGTTTAACCAGGCCAAGTAGTCCATGTATCGGCAAATTATGTTGTGCATTCGTATGCACCATGCATGGGTGCATACAGATGCAAAAACGACGTCGTTTTGCATCAAAACGCGCGTCCTACTTAAAAAAATCAGTTTCGATTCCCAGCAACAACATTATGTTATTCATTTTTTAGTTCATTCATTCTGGATTTTTAGTTATGAAATTATGGATGTATAGTTATGCAATTCTGGATGTATAGTTATGAATTTATGGATGTGTAGTTATGCAATTCTGGATGTATAGTTATGAAGTTATGGATGTGTAGTTATGCATTTCTGGATTTATAGTTATGAAATTATGTATATATAGTTATGCAATTCTGATTTTTTTTTTTTTTTTTTAAGTTAGACATCAAAATGATATCGTTTTTGTACCCGGATGCACCATGCGTGGTGCATACGGATGCACAGCATAACCATCCCCATGTATCAATAGTTTTGCTTTTAGGTTTGATATTCAGCTTACATCTGCCGCCCGCACATGATTTTTGGGTACGAAACATGAAGGCCCGTCGATATTTCCAAAAGGTACAACAAAGCGTGTAGGCCATGCGTACCTCCAACACAAATAATGGAGCTCAATTGGTTACCAGTTAATTCCATTTTGTTTAATCTTCTGCCGTGGGTCCAACAATAAGCCGGTTATGGATTAAATGTAAGTATGTAACCACATATAGATTCACGTATAGAATTGGGGAGTTAGTGAGATTTAATTGCTTGGGTATTGTGGAATTTGGAATTGATGTATCATGAAAGTGAAGCAGTTCCCAACCTCGACTCACTCCTGGAAATCTTTGATTTTTCAATCACTTTTCCGACCACTTAAAAAAATGGTCGAAAAGTGACATTTTTTTTTTTTTTTGTCAAAAGATTATGATGGGGAAATAGGTTGGAATTTTCAATAGTTGAGCATATAATACATATAAACATAAATGTGCAATCCAACTATCAGCTTAGACTTTTAGTTGAGATGGAGCACATGCTTCAATTTGGTATCAGAGTATATAATACATATAAACATAAATGTACAATCTAACTATCAGCTTAGACTTTTAGTTGAGATGGAGAACATGCTTCAATTCCACCTTTACTTTATGGTCGGAATACCGACCACAAAGTAAAGGTGGTCGAAAAAAAATTTCTACAGTTTAAAAAATTTAAACTGAATTGGGAATTTCCGCCAATCTTTCTAGTAGCTGATTTTTCTGACCAATTTACAAAATAAGATGTTATTTCCAACCACCTTTTCGGTGGTCGAAAATAGCAACAAAGGTTTTTCCGGATACCAAAAGTGGTCGGAACAAGGGTTTCTGACTTGATTTAATATCACTTTCAGGTGGTCGGAAATTCCTTGATTTCCAGCAGTGACTCGAGTTTGCTTGACCACAAAAATGACTTGTAAGTTGTAACCTCAGATTTTGGTTGTGCAATCTTTAATTTGGATCCCCAATTTGGTATTTTCCTTCCTCAATCCCATAGGGTTCTTTTGCCATTTGAATCGAATCCTCCTCACCTGAGACCTTCTTTTTCCTATTGAAATTTTATACTATTGTTTATCGCTTTTAGTTGTTTTCTTTTGTTTTTGGAAACTTTTAGTTGTTCTTATTTCCAAGGTTAATCTACTTTATTGATCATTGGCTTACTTAGCTTTCACTTAATTCTATATCTTTGTGTTTAGTTGGGTAGCTTGATCAATTTCATGCCATAGACATCATTCCTAGAGAACGACAATTTTTACCCCGTGTACTATGATGATCAGAGAAGCCGCGTGGATCCTTGCCAAGCACCACTGAAAACAACTCCCAGAAGAGAATCCAAGCAATCACCCTTAGGAGTGGCAAAGAGCTTCAAGAGCCAAGAGTGAGTCAAAGCTCCAATCCTAGGGGCTCAAAGGAGATTGCACAAGGGGGCACTCATAAGCAAACGGTGGAGGAAGAAGAGACCGAGAAACCATCAAGAGATGATAGTGTAAAGGGTAACAATGGCAAGGGGAAGTAAAAAGTTGATGCACCCGTGTACCAACCACCACTACCTATCATGGGTGAGTTAAGAAGGGCATTGATAAAAATACCCTATGTCAGTCGATGATAGGTGTTATTTTGTGGATGTATTGCATGAGCATATTGAGTTAATAATGCCTAGTAATCTTGGTGGGGCTTGTGGGGTAGTTGATGTGATAGGGAATATGATTGTATTGTGCATAATGAGATTGACAATGGCAGAATGAATGAAATTGAGCATGAATGAGCATAATTGTGTCAAAGATTTTATATTTTGTGGTAATGAGCGTGTGTGTGGAAATGATTGCATATCTTGTGTGAATAATGGTAAATTAAATGTATTGATTCTCTTGGTGTATCTTTGTATTGATAAATGTGATACTATTGATGTGTTTGACTTAATTGGTGAAGTTGTGGAGGTTAAGGATGGTTTGAGAAGGGATGATTTAGAAGTAGAAATTGAGGAGAAGAATATAGGTGGTGAAAGAAGGGTGAGTGGTAACAAAAAGGGAGAGTTGGGGGTAGACACTCGAGTTCAACATTCAATTCAAACGTCTCCTAAAATCGACCTCAAGACCCTTCCCGATAACCTAGAGCACTCTTTCTTGGATTATACTTTAGTGGTGTTGTAATAAAACTACTACTACTGAAAATCAAAATTTTTCGACCACTCAAAAAATGGCCAAAAAAGTGATTTTTTTTTTTTTAATTTTTCGTCGAAGGATTAGGGTGGACGAAAATGTTTTTCAACCGTTTAATTTTTTTAAATTGATCTTATTTTCTCCGACCACCTTCAAGAGTGGTAGGAAATACCGACCACCAAGTCAAGGTGTTAGGAAATCCTCATCTTATTTATTTAATTTTTTATCCTATTGTTGTTGTTCAATGGTATGAAGACCACATGCTTTATCTTTTATATCAATAATTATTTCACTCATATTTTTTTTTGTTTTGATTTTAACTTGCATTTCTTCAATCGACCACGACAGTTTACAAAATTGGACGTCAATCTTTCTGGTGGTCGATTTTTCTGACTAATTTATAAAATTGGACGCTATTTCCGACCACCTTATTCGGTACTTGGAAATAGCAACAAAGGTTTTTTCAGCCACCAAAAGTGGTCGGAACAAGGGTTTCCGACCGAATTTAGGCCATTTTCGACCACTTTTCGGTGGTCAGAAATTCCTTGATTTCAAACAGTGTACAGTGTATATAAAATAAAATTCAATAACAAGTTTCACATATTGAGTGTATAATGTCAAATGAAACTGTAATTGAAACAAAATGATACTTCATTATATTGAATACGTCATAAATACAAAATTAATTGGGCGAAACGAGTGTCGTTTATTCTCATTAAAAGAAATAACATTATTTTGGATCATGTTCCATAGAAAAATTTGCCGAGAATTATAACCCTATTAATCCATTATTTAATCCAATTGTCTTAATTGAACGATTGTTGACCGTAGAATAGTCGTATTGACTTGGGTTGACCCAGTAGCTTCCTCCTGAGTTCTAAGTTCTATCCTCCTCAGTCCTCACACTCCCTCCTGTCCTTATAACATTTCACACATAAATAATGCGTCCCTAAAGCTAAAACTCCACTCAATTTTCTCTTCTCTCTCTCTCTCCCACTCATCACCCCATCTCTTTAGAGAGAAAGAAAGAGTAGATCTGCTTCAATTCTTAGCTCCCTCAATCAAATATGATGGTTAGCTCTCTTTCACTTTGCTCCATCTAACTCAACTCTTAACAATTATTATATATAATATACTCTCTTTCATATATATATGTTTTATATACTCTCTTTCATAATTTTGATGAGATCTATGTTTTTTGTGAATTGGTACAGAAAGTGGTGTTGAAGTTGGATTACAAGGATGAGAAAACGAAGCAGAAGGCGATGAAAAAGGTGTCAAGCCTTGATGGAGTGGAATCCATCTCGATAGACAAAGACAAGAAACTAACGGTGACAGGGAGCATAGACGCAGTGTCAATTGTGGGCAAGCTGAGGAAGATCTGCAACACAGATATCGTGTCTGTCGGCCCAAAGGAGGCGGAGAAGAAGAAGGAAGACGGCGGCGCCAAGAAGGACGACGGGAAGAAAGATGAGAAGAAGGGCGGCGGCGATGACAAGAAAGATGAGAAGAAGGGCGGCGGCGATGACAAGAAAAAAGATGAAGCGGCGGCCAAGGCAGCTCCTATTCCCATCCACCAATATTATTACCATCAACAACAACAACATCCTTATTATCATCAACAACAACAACATCCTTATTATAATCAACAGTACCCGCCGCCCTATTCCCATCCAGCGTATTATAATGGCGGCTACAATAACAGGACTGTGGAAGAAGATCCAAACGCCTGTGTTATTTCTTAATTTCGATCTGCAGATCAGATCAGAGATGAGATTTATCCTAGCTAAGCTGCTACGAGTGATAAATAGCTGCTTAATCAATCCAGCTATATATATACGTATATTATTATTGTAGAGCAAATTAAATTGTCTTAATTTCTCCACTCTCAATCTCTTTCTGTTTAATTTAATTTGTTTATATTCTTAAAATTTGCTACGATATGATGATTTTTTATTGATATCAGTTCTCAAGTTTCAATGCCCTGTTGAGAGAACATATAGCTGTAGAAAAAGTAAAATTCTGGGGTGGAAAAGCAGTATGAAATACTGTAAAAAATATCGAGTTTTCAATTCATGAACAGTTCTTATGCAATTATTGTTTCAATGATTTTTGTCGCTTTTCCCTCTTGAGCAATTTCAAAATATTTTATTTTATTTTATTTTTTGTGGTGTTAATTAATTCCACTAAATATCTCTCAACATTTATACATTTTTCACATTTAACCCTTAACTTTAAAGCTAGTCACAATTAGTCCTTTTTTTTTTTTTTTTTTTTTTTTATAAAAAAAAAACAAACTGCAAAATTTCATTCAGAACCTAACAACTCAAAAATACACGTAGGTGGGATAACAGTCCACGACTTTGAGACAGAACTAGAACCAGTTGCCCGAGCAAGTGCATGAGCCACTCGATTCGCTGTTCTCTTGACATGTTGGACTTGAACGTCTCCTATGTCTCTAGCAATAGCCAAGCATTGCTTAATAATTGTGCCTACATACGAATAATCTACCATACTAGAATTAAAAGCATTACAAAATTCTAAACAGTCCGATTCTAGGATGAAACGGCTTCCTTGTAGCCCCGCGAGCCATATTAAAGCTTCTTTAGCTGCCAAAACTTCAGCCATAAACGGATGCTGATTACACGCTAATCTACCACTTCTTGCGGCGACGAAGCGGCCTTCATGATCACGCACAACCGCGCCAAAGCCTGCACCATCATCGAACACAGCTACATCCACATTACACTTCAACGTATTGCATGATGGTGGAGCCCAACAAGACGCACGAATCTGCCCCTCTACCTGGTTCCTCACAACAGTGAACGCAGCCTTCCAACTGACTTGCAATCTCTCGATCTGGCCCCGAAGGCCCTCTATAGACCACGATGCTTGTTTCCAGACAATCTCGTTTCTAACATTCCACACTGTCGAGAAAATAGCAGCAAGCTTGACTGCCCCCTCCCTGCTTGATCCTCCCAGCGTGGATTCCAATAAGTTCTGCACACAACCGCCTTGAAGGACGTCATCGCTGCCCCATAATCTTCTAGTCCAAACACACTCACAGAAAATGTGTTCAGCAGTCTCCGGCATCCCTTCACAGAATGGACAACCTCCACCAATCCAAACACGCTTAGCTTTCAGGTTTTCGCGTACCGGTAAGATACCCCGAACGCATCGCCAAAGCAAATTTCTGACTTTTGGTGGCACCTATAGCGCCCACAAATTTTTCCATGATTGAAAACCAGCAGCATCAACGTCCGTTGTATTACTACCTGTGAGCAGCCTGTACCCGTGTTTCACCGTGTAACACCCCCGTATATCCCCAATCCACCTCCACGAGTCCTTTAATTGATTATTCACAGGAGTTGCGAGAATGTGATCAACATCATTTTGACAAAAAATGTCCCAAACCACCTCTGAATCCCATTCGCCATGCTCATTCAGTAACCCGCTTACCGTAGCGTCCTTAAGCTCTTCAATACAAGGAGTTGTTAGAGTTATACCTGCAGAGTTTGATAACCAACCCCAGCCCCATATCCTGGTTTCCTCCCCATTCCCAATCCGTCGAGCTATCCCCATCTTCAAGACCTCTTGTCCCGCCAGAATACTTCGCCATAAATAACTGAGATTGGCCCCTATTTTGGCCTCCAAAAAGTCACAATTCGGGAAGTACTTAGCTTTCAACATCTTGGTCACTAATGACTCTGGGTGGATTAACAATCGCCAACCCTGTTTCGCTAGTAATGCCTTGTTGAAGTCATGAATCCGCTTGAATCCTAGCCCGCCCTTGCACTTAGGCTCACAAAGCTGTTTCCAACTCAACCAATGTATCCCCCTATTTCCACCTCCCCCTCTTCCCTACCAAAACCGGTTAAACAGTTTCTCAATCATATCACACACACGGATTGGCAATAAAAAAAATTGACATAGAAAAAATAGGCAGAGATTGTGCTATATTCTTTAGCAAAACCTCTTTCCCAGCCTTAGATAACAGTTTGTTTTGCCACATCCCTATCCTTTCCCGGATCTTTTCCTCTATATATCGGAACATAGCAGTCTTTTCCTCCCGATCACCGAAGGAAGGCCAAGATAACGTCCAAGGTACGCCGTTTCCTGTACGCCGAAGCAGTCAGTCACCAAGTTCCTCGTCTCGGCAGTGGTATTAGCGCTAAACACAGCACTAGATTTGTCAAAGTTTATTAGCTGTCCCGATGCGTCACAATACTGATCCAAACATTCTTTGATTGTCGACGCTTCATATTGATTTACCCTGAAAAAAAAAGCAAGCTGTCATCAGCAAAAAAGAGGTGAGTGACGGACGGGGCCCCCCGCGCCACCTTCACCTCATGGATATCCCCACTGGCTTCCTTTCATTGCAACAAAACTGATAGAGCTTCAGCACATAAAATGAATAAGTAAGGGGACAATGGTCCCCTTGTCTTATTCCCCGAGTGGGGCAAACTGTACCCACACTCACCCCGTTAACTTGAATAGAATAGCTAACGGTGGAAATGCACAACATCAGTAAGCCCACCCAACCACAATCAAAACCAAGAGCTATCAACATCCCTTCTAGAAAGTCCCACTCCATCCTGTCATACGCTTTGGCCATATCTAGCTTCAACGCTACCCACCCCATTACCCCACACGTTTTCCTTCTAAAAAAATGACCCACCTCCCCTGCAACTATAATGTTATCCGTTAGCAATCTCTCAGGGACAAACGCACTTTGAGACTGCGACACGACTTGACCCAAAATACCTTTTAATCTATTGGCCACCATCTTGGCCAACACTTTGTAAATTACATTACAAAGGGCTGTAGGGCGTAGGTCGGATACTTTCTCCGGAATCTTCTTCTTAGGTATAAGAACAATATTTGACTCGTTTAGGCCCCGCGGAAAGCTCCGCATTGCAACACAATGAAGGATAAAAATAGACAAATCATGGCCGATCACTGGCCAGAAGTGTTGGTAGAAAGCCGGGGACATGCCATCTGGTCCCGGCGCTTTCTCTGGGGCCATTGAGAATAAGGCAGTTTTAACATCTTTAATTGTGAACGGTTCCAATAGAGAGATGTTCATCTCATCCGTTACATATCGCCGCACACGATTACAGATATTTGAATTGCTATTCCCTGAACAGAAGATAAGCTTATAATACCTTAATATTTCAGCATGCATTTCCTCGCCATCCTGCCACTCCCCTTCCTCATTCTTCACTCGTTGCAACAAGTTTCGTTTACGGCGAGCCGAAGCAGCTTTGTGAAAGAATTTCGTGTTTGAGTCCCCTTGTTTCAACCATAATTGCTTTGACCGCTGCTTCCAGAATAACTCCTCTTGCCTCAATAAAATCTCAAGCTCGCTCTCCACTGTCACGAACTCAGCTATTGCCTGGGGTGACCTGTTTTCGCTCAGCTCTGCCAACCGGCATCTCAATACTTTGATTTGATCCCCAAATTGTTGATAGTGTTCTCCTCCCCATTTCCATAACTGTTAGCCACAATTTGCAATACATGTCTGAAAATCTAAGCCCACCGAACGCCGCCATGCCTCCCCAACCACTTTCGCACAACCCTCTTCCAGAAGCCAAGCAGACTCAAATTTAAACGATTTATTGGCTGCGCGCATCGGCCTCGCCTCGAGGTCTATGAAAATGGCACTATGATCTGAACATGATGCAAAAATTTTACGTACCACAGCTTCATCATAGATCTTAGACCAACCAATCGTCGCTACTGCCCGGTCCAATCTTTCCTCTACCCACGACTCTGTACCACGGCCTTTCTCCCACGTAAAACGTCCTCCCGACATCCCCAGGTCATGAAGTTGACAATCACATAACGCGTCATTGAAACCTTCAATAAGGAACGCCGGGTGAGGATGATCCCCCCTCTTCTCGGACAGACAAGTAATGTCATTAAAGTCTCCCACGACAACCCAATGAAGGGAAGAATTATCCTTGAGTTGACACAGAAGATCCCAAGTAATCTGTCTGTTCGTCCTCTCTGAATTGCCGTAGAAGCCCGTTAACCTCCATCCCGGCATTCCTGGAATTGAAACTTCGACATCTATGTGGTTATTTGAGTAACTTAGAAGCGTTACTGTATCCGCATCTCTCCACAACAACGCCAGGCCGCCTCCCAACCCCACTCGATCCACACACACTGCCCCCTCAAACCCCAATTTCACACGCACTTCCTCCACCTTCGTCGCAATCGCTTTTGTCTCTATTAAAAAGACAAAAGAGGGTCGCTCCTTGGACACAATGCCCAAGAGTTCACGAACTGTCCGGGTGCTACCCAAACCCCAGCAGTTCCAGCTTAATATACTCATTTGGTCTGGCGAGTCTGGCTCTCCAGACCCGCCACTACCAGATTCTTCGAGTTCTCGGTCATCATCACATCCTCCCCATGTCCTCCCCCCTGAACTTCCTCCTCCTCCCGACGCCACTCCAGGTCACCTTGAAGGCCACCACCCTCCTCCACCGTCACCAGTTCCAAAGGCGAGGGACCTGCAACCAGTTGCTCCGACCGTGCGGTTGCAGATGACAATACCCACTTCGCACCTACGGGCTTCACTTGTCTCCTTGGCCCTGCCCTCATCCAGCTCCCGAAAGGAAATGCTTCCGGCAGAATCCCTTCATCATAGATCCTTGTACAGAATTTATCGGAGTGACCCAAGACCCCACAACAGAAGCAGAACATACTTAGCCTCTCATAACGGAAGGTGATCCACTTTGATGTGCCATCCTTGCAGGTGAGTTTCATGTGTCTCTTTAGCGGTGCTGAGACCGCCAATTTGACTCTAATCCGATGGAAGCTCCTCCACGATCCCCCGAAATTGGCTGGATCGATCGCAATGAACGTTCCCAATAATTCCCAATTCGAGTGATGAAATCCGGAGATGCATACATCGTCGGTAGTCCGTGAATTTGGACCCAAAAGGCAATCGACTCCAACTGAACCTCCTCTGGTCTCATCGCTGGTGGAACCTGCTCGCAGATGAAGGTGTTATTCTCAAACGACCAAGGGCCGTCGTCGAGCACCCGTTGTAGATCCTTCAGATGGGGAAATTGAAACAAAAATAAATTCTCCGATAGAAGCACCGCATACATGCCTTTTATGGGTCTCCAGATTGACGCCATAACCTGTTGCATATGGTCGAATTTGATCGGACGATAGGTCAGAAATCGCCCTACTAGATTATTCGGAATCACTGCATCATAAAAATTCAGCAAGTGGGGTACCTCCAGACCGCTAATTTCTTCCTCAGCTAGCGATAGCTCAGCACAGCGATCCTCAATTTTTCGCGTATCCATGGTGGGATTGAAGCGGTGAGAGATGATGCAATAGAGAATTACTGGATTCACCGGAATCAACAAATAAAAACAACCCTAGAAGGCCAGGAAGATACCCTCCTGGACACGATCCAGAGGGGTGTCCGCTAATCGGCGTGCACGATCGGAAACACGACCGGCGATCACGATCGGGTCATGCGAGGAACGCGGAGCTCACGTTCTCTATAGATGCACTCATATCCATGGCGAACTTAATAATAGAGAAAAGTAAAAGTCCATGTCACAATTAGTCCTTCATTATTGAGAATTTGTTACAATTTGTCATGTGTTACTAAATATTTTTGCCGTTGTCTAATTCAAGGAAGGCTAAAGCTGTCATTTCCTTGTAGTGATACATTAAGGGAGTGTTTGGTAAATAGCTGTTTGCTGATTGGGTTAGTGGATTTGACTAGTTGATGGTATTAGTCGATTGTAAAAAAGTGCTTGGCAAATTAACTGATAGTTGATTATATGCAAAATTAATTTCTCAAAAAGGTGATCGAAAAACTGCTTTGACTAGCTTTTTGAATTTTAACATTTTGGAGCAATAAGCTACTACAAACTCTATGTTATTGAAAGCTGCATTTTCACTTCGTACTGATGGTTATATTAAATGGAAATTGTTTTGACGTACTAACAAAACTTTATTCTCGACACTACAAAAAAGCTCAAATTTAACAACAAAATAATTCGTGTGTAAATTACTTAAATAAGTAAGTATTTAATTTACCAATAAATTTATAGGTATTTAGC